CGCTGCACAAAAAAAAAAAGAAAACGAAATGCGTAAACTAAATAACTAAAAGTCTCATTCACCTTCTCTTAAGAGCAACCACATTCTCCTTCAGTCGAGCAGTTTCCAAAAACATATCTCCACAATCATTCACATCAACAGTTTCCATGTCGAATTTCTGATTTCCCCTCGACTCGTCCCACTCGAACCACATCTTGGGAATCAACTCCTTTCTAAAGCAAGTTTCATGATCTTCCTCCTCAGGCGAGCCCTCAGCTATCAGCCTGTACGTGTAAACCTTCCTCACCTGGCCAGGCCTGAAAGCCCGACCTATAGCCTGCCGAGTAACTGACGGGTTCAGATGAACATCTAGTATAATAATCCGTGAGGCCCCCACGAGCGATATCCCTTCCCCACAAGCCTTAATCGAGCCAAATAAAACTCGAGCTTCAGGGGATTCGTTAAAACTCTCCACCGAAGATTCACGCGAGTCGCAATGCGAATCGCCCGTGATAGCAAACATCTCTTTTCCCAAGCTGTAGCCTTTCACTTTAGCAGTTACCATCTCAAGAAATTTGAGGGGCAAACGGTACTGGCTAAAAACGAGAATTTTCTCTCCGCTCGATTCGCAAAGCTGGAGGAGATTCAGATAGAAGTCTAATTTCACACCTTCTCTCAGGTTAATATTCACCAAAATCTCGTCGATTTTCCCCTCGTCGACTCGATCTCTCAATTCCGAATTCTTCGCCAACTCCTTAAGCTTTGGGTGGACATAAACAGCACTGCCCCGTGATGTGATCGAGAACCTTCTAGAAAGAGTCCGCATAAGCTCCTTGGCCTCGAATTTTTGTGCAGGGCTCAGCTTGAGATAGACCGAAAAGTCCACGAGCCCGGGAAGCTCGTCCAGACTGTCGCCCCTGAAATAATGCAGGACTTTTCTCGTCATTTCGCGGAGGTCTTGTATGACGATAGCTTTCCGAGTGGAGTTTTCATCTTTGATCAGCGTATGCTCGATCAGTTCGTACAAGTCGTCATCTCTATCGTTTTTCATTATATTCCTTCGGTTATTGATCTCGGCCCGGCCCAAGATCCTCCGCCTCATGGCTTTTGGGATTTCCATTTTTAGAAACTTTGGCCGCACTAGATTCAAGATATTGAAAACTTCCTTTACGTGGTTTTGGTACAGAGTTCCCGATAGGACAACCTTTCTAGGAGTTTCCACTCGCTCGAGACCAGCCAACACATCTGTTTCTTGGTTCCTTGGTGTGTGACCTTCGTCTAATATGAGAATTGTGGGGATTGTCAGCAGATAACTTCGGCAAGCAGTAGCTACAGCCCCTTTATCTGAGTCGTTAACTATTTTCGAAAACTGTTGATAGCCTAAAAACAATATACTCCTCTCTTTAACCCATTCCTTCAAAACTTCGAGCTGTTGTGCACGGTTATCGGCTTTCGCCGAGTAACAATCGTAAAGGGGAATGTCCTCGACTTGCCACCTGGCGAATTCCTTCTTCCACGTGGAGACTATGCCTTTGGGGAGCACGACTAGGGGCCTAGCGGCTGGGTACTTAGCCATGAAGCTCTGTAAAAAGCTGATGATCATGAAGGTTTTGCCCGAGCCAGGGGCATGGGCCAGAATGCACCCACCAGGATTTTCAGTGACGAGATTGCTCACGAGGAAGTTGAAGCCCTCTAATTGGTGGGGCTTCATTTCCTTCCTGTGGCGCGGATGAGGGTGTATTTCGGAGGCTGTGAAGTCTATCTCGGATGATTTAACCCCGTCTGGCAAGGTGTTGGAAGGGTCAATGTCCCGGCTGGCACGTCCTTCGTATCTGTATGTTCGTGTACTCTTTGGAGCCTGTATTTGAGAATGAGTTGATAAAATATTCTTCAGCAGGTTATCTTGTTATTTTTTATTTTTAATTCTATTTATTTTGAAAAAAAAAAAAGTGAACAATCATTAAATTGGGGTTTGCAACAGATTGGGTTAAGATCTTTTGAAGGAAAGTGAGAAGTTCACGAGCAGAAATGCAAAAGCGGGATTCGGGAAGTGAGATACGAAGGCATATAATGATGTACCACAAGGTCCACAACCATTACCTCTAAGAAGAAATCAAAGTCCATTAGAAAAAGGAACTACACAATTGTAGCAGACAAATTCACAAAATAAGCAAACAAAACATGGTGCAGGTAATTGTAGGAAGATTCTCCGGGCATACAGAACAAATTTATGCCTTAACAAATCACGCAAAATTTCAGCACGACTTCACATAAATGTAGGCAACAATTTTAGTAACAAGAAGTCCTACTAGCTTGGTAAAAGAATGATGTATATTTAGAGATTTTTAGTGAACAGAGGTATTTACTTGATTGCTAAAACAAGTAGAAGCTTCACCTAAGGGTAAGTCATGAGGGTAGAAAGATGCATAAAATTGTGTAAAGTAGGCGAAAAAGTAAACATGCCTTCATCAATCAACACAAGATAGTAAAAATGGTCAAAATGCCACATAGCAGACATTGACAGAACAGCTGCAAGTGTAAATGATAAGATGCTAATTTTATAAAGAGTTGTGATAGATTCACACAACCAAGCTTCACATAAGACAGAAAGAAGAAAATAAATTCAATTATAATAAGCAGATATGAAATCCTTACCTTTGAGAAATTAAACTCGATTATTGATTCAATTCCTCTCTTAATGACCCCACATATACGACATACATCTCCAATATCATCTTTCAGGATAAAAGAATGCTCACACTCTTCTTCATCTTCAGCATTGTATTCATCCAGACGATCTTCATCGGCAGTCTTTGACATAACAAAAGTCAATGGCATGAATATGTACATAAAACAGAATTCAATAAACACATGTAGGCAGCAGAATACTTCATCTCTTTAGGAAAATATAGGAAAGAGAAAAAAGAAAATGTATACTCAAAGACAGCATAGGACCATCAGAAGATAAGTTCATGAGGTTTGGAACACTATTATCATAAAAATTAAAATAAAACTTATTACATTGTCAGTATATCACCAAGAATCAGAAAGTTACTGTTTTAAGAGGCTACCTTTGAACACTCTAAGGCAAATGTCATATCATTCCAAATCTCACCCAGGCCATCAGAGTTAGTATCAGAAGGGTCTTCACTGTCCTCTTCATCAGTGCCAACATATTCCCCTTTATCTCTTGTCGACTCAGTTTGTTCGACATATTCACCTTTATCTCTTTTTGACTCAGTTTGTTCAGCAACCTGCTGGTCTGCACCTTGGGAACTTTTGCTTCGACCAGAATTCCTTTCCTGCATAATGATAGGGAACTATCAGCTGAATGACAATAAAATCAAATAAAACAACAGCGAAAAAAAAAAAAAAAAAATCCTTTCCTGGAATGGATAAATTAGAGCAGTTATTTGCTTTACAAAACTATATATCAAAATATTAACAATTAGAGCAACAATAAAATAAATAATTGCGTAAGTGAATTGCAAGTCACAGTAGCGGTGCTCTAGGAACTCAGAAAATCCTCATTCTTCTTGTGTAATACTTCCATCGGAACACATTCTGTGAGTTCAAATAGTATAACTAATGATAGGATAAACTGATAATGTCAAACACAAAAGTAGATTCCAGAGTTCATACCACAGAGTCTTTCAAGATACGATTTACTGAAGCCTTCTTGGTGTTCAGTTCCTGATAGGAAGAAAGCTACGAAACGACAATGACATCACATCAAACAATGAGAATAATGACAGCAAAATTTCAGTTCCTGGTACTGACAGGCTTTCGCAAAAAGTTATGGCTGTCCACTTATTCTGGCATAGGAAAATAGGAAAATGGATATAATGTAAAAACTGTATAAATTGATTCCATGCTACATGAGTAAATCAATTAGAAATTCAGCAGAAAATCCCAGAGCATGTTTAATAAGATCACATTATAACCATTGATTATTTCAAATTCCAGAGCCTAAAACATTGAGGTAAAACCAAATTTCATACCACAAAGTCTTTCATTAGAAGACTTCCAGGAGGCTTCTCCAATTTCAGTTCCTCGTAGAGTGAAAGCTTCGTCAACTTTGATTCCTAATAGGCAGTGAGATCAAAATTTCATTTCCAGAAACTGGTTAACAAATTCCAAAAAATAAATAAATAAACAGATGGTTGTCCACTCACATTCCCACATGAATTAGAAAAGCAACAAAACTAAATAAAAAATTTATTCTTTCAAAAAGCAATTGCGCACCATGTTAACCGTTGTGTATGTTGTGAACTATGTACGAATCTCGTTCTTCTTAATCAAGAATTTCCATCAGATAACTTTTAATAATGTCAACTGATACAACTGACAATAGCATAAATTGATAACGCTATATTACAGGTAAAAGTTCACAAAGTTCATACCGCAAAGTCTCCCATGAGAGTGTTTCCTATTCCAGTAGGCTTCAGGTTCAATTCCTGATACGAAGACCTAAAGTTTTCACTCCTACCATCATTCTCATCATCTGACTCGATGAGCACAACAGGATTAGCAAGAGAAGATTGCTCTTCTGTTGGAACAAACCTTGTAATTGCAAGCCTATCATCATCCTGATCATCATCTAGGTCAATTACATCACAAGTAACCACTTCACTTGTCTTTGGCACAGTTGGATGCAAATCAGGACATGATGACCAAAGTTCAGAATTCTCTGAGTAGATGCGATCCATTAACTGTCTTCTCCGCTCGACAAGCTTCAGTATTTCTTTAGTCACACTTCCATATTTGCCCGTATCCAACTCAATCATTATGTCATTAACGGAAAATGGATCGGAATAATCTATAACATGGGAAGGGTAACTTCTTTTCCTATCATATTGAGATCGCCAAGTAGCAGAGTAACCATTTCCAGTGTCTGTTTTTGCCCTTTTACGTTCTCTGGAGTTCAAATCTATAGATGAAGTCAAGCAAAGTGCAGGAAAATAATGTTAAGTAATGCTGATTTCATGAGGAATAATGAAACAGATTTCATCTGTTTTCATTACCGTGCTATAACTTCTGCAAACGTGGCCTTGCCCAGGTTATAAGACTCATAGTTTGTTAAGTAATTTTCAAAAAAAAAAAGATTATATTTCTACATTCTGGTTTTAAGTCAATCAGATCGCACTATTAGTCAGTGCACATATGCACATTATCATACCCAGGTTAACGATTAAAAGCCATGTAAATTATTAGTTACAGTGATGTAATGACTGGAGAGCTGGCTTCTTCGCGTTTCAACAAATAATACTGCTTGCATCAAAGTGCAGAGATCCAATAAAATTTCGAAAAAT